TATACATGTATGTATTTAGCTACCTATGTTTATTAATGTTAGCCACAGTTTCAATGCTTATCAATGAGGTTTACTGTTGTTTACCCATTTGTATGTTTTAATCATCCTTACCATACTTAATAATAGCTCTTTTAACCATTGATGTTTACCATGATGACAGTAAACTCAAGAGTTTGGATACATCATTGGTCTTAAATCAAGCCTCATATGCTCACAATGACATCATAGGTATTAGAGTAATTTAATTTACTCTAATACAGTGATTTTCAGGTTGCTTGACCCAATTTCTTACTTCTTGCTCACGTGACATGTATTATTAGTATGGGAAAAGTCACGTGATTAACGAGTTTGCAAGGTCAAGCAACTTGCAAAGCTCGGTATCTATGCTCACATGGGGCCCTAGGCCCCGGGGCCGTGGCTGGTAAGCAATGACGTTACAGTAATATGACATCATAATTAAAAATAATTAATAATAATCACAGCTAGATTAATTCATTATTCATAATAAAAATTATAAAATCAGACAACAACAAAAAACCAACAATAAATATTGTTTTTACAAGGAGGACTTAAAAATTATTTATAAAAAATAAATAACAATTTTATATGTTCAAACTTGACTACAATTATTAGCACACTTCAGCTTTAATTATAGTTTCCCATGGCAACTGTCGCCATAAAAATCAGGGAAAGGGAAGGTAGTTGGTATAATATTCATTTGAGTAGTAAACTCATAAGTGCTGTTATCAGCAGGACCTTTGAATGAGACCTAAAGGAGTATAGAAAATTATTGTAACTATAGTTTTAAGGTAGAACTTTTGGTGGAAGTGGTGTAATATTGTCATTATTTTGTTTCAGTAAACATTTTAAAAACTAACTTGTATAAAAAAATCTGGTCAATCCAACTTTAGGAGCTGAACAACTTGCAACATGCTTACCAGGAGCATAGATTGATACATTTGTTAGTATACATCAATCATTAGCAGTCGTTTATATTAACAAACCATTGGTTGGAGTTTTGTAGGAGTTCACAGTACAGGGTGTACTTCAGTTCCTTCATCAGGTCCTGCTATTAGCAGTCGGAAGTCCCTCCTCTTGTCTCCAATAGTGTCGGCATGGTTATGGACTTAGGTATACCTTTACCTTCATGGCTCTGTGGTAGTGTGTAGAGTAATACTACTATCAGTGTTGTTCTGTTGGAGTGTCCAACTAAATACTGGACGTGGGGAGTTCTAATACATGAGAAAAATGTAATGCATATTGATTTCCTTATGATGTGTAGCAAGTTTGAGCTGATTCCAACTTCAATTTTTTAATTTTAAGAAAACATCAAAATTCTGAAAAATACTCAAGGCAATGGTTTTTTTTAATGGCTTCAAAATTACTCCAAATTTTTATTACAATTTTCAATACATACCAATGTCCTTATGTTGATGTATCATTAATTTATAATCACAAAAACATCATCACAATACTCTAACTGTGTAAATTAAGAGATACTGTGTACATGTACTTATTGTTAATATTGAGGGATAGAATGCTGATATCAAACATTAGCATAGTAGCATGGCCAGCTAGGGAATGTTCAGCATTTGGCATTGTCCTATGAAAATAAAATTAAAATAATAAAAATTAATAACTTGAAATTTTTACCTCAAATATTTCTCCCCTTTAAATCATCCCAGAAGTAATAGGAGTTATCAAGAAGAAAGAACTCATCACCACTGGTGGTGACTATCATCTTAGGCATTGTGTATCTAAATGAATGTAAGCTATTGAAGGAGATTTTTTGAAGGAGATTATTGATTCATTATAGGTGGAGCAGAGCCTAAACTCTCTGAAGCTCAAAGGCTTTAACAAAAAAGGAAAACAATGACCAGTTTATTTACTAAAAATAATGTTTCATTTATTTCTCTTATCATTATTACTAGAAATTTGCACAGTTTTTACCATAAGTGGAGTGTATAAATTATCAGTAAGCTTTTTGTTGCTCTTATCTTCATCTTGCTTTGTTTCCTCTCCATCTTGATCTTCAATTTCTTCTTTTTCATCAAACTTCATTTTCTTCTGAGCAGGTTCTTTGCTGAGTGACGTAATACCATCATTACCAGACACAACTTCTTTTGGTTTTAGTAGCCAGGGTACATCAATTAATGGTGCACAGTTGATGGTGAGATGACTAACAATATCATAAAATGGATCCTCTTCATCTTTCTCTAATTTCTATATAAAACAATCAATGACATTTGATTTCTCTTCTAGTGTTAGACCATAAAAAAGATTTGAAGTTTTATTCACACTATCACATACATTTCAAACTTACTTTAAAACCCAGTGCTAGTACACTCTTAATACCTAGTGTTGGAGCTAATTTTGAACTAAGATCATATAGTCCCATTAGAGGGCAATTCCTGGTAGCAGCTAGCATCAGTATGTGCCCTGTCAATAGAGCTGGTTTAGCTGATAGACACACTACACCACATCTCATATGCCCCCTTTCAAGACACCTAGTAAAAGCATTAACTCCAATGATGAGCTGTTTCTTAAGGCAGGGATTGTCGGTTAATGGAACGGCATCAATTGAGGCCTTGTGAAATTTCTTCTTATTTGATGCAACACTAGAAAGAGAACTGAAGAACAAAATTAATTAGGAGACAATGAATAAAACCAACATACCGGTGGAATATTTTATTTTGTCATTTTCCTTTTAAATACTCATAAAATTGTAAAATGTTAGCATAATAAAAACATTTTAAGAATTGTAAAAAATGCTTCAAGCTTTTTACAAATAGAGTAATTAAATTCAATTACCAAGGTTAAACCCTGACAATGGTGCTGAGAATTATAAACTCACTCCATCAGAAGTTGAATTGTTTTCTGAGCACATTTCTCTCCAACAGAAGGCCTAAAATAACAAATATAAAATTTTAAACTCCATTGATTTACCACTGAAGCTTGTAAGGAGAATCTAAACTGTGCTTCACTTTAGGTCTCTTGATCTTGCTCATTATATCTAGTACATTTCCGTATACTGTCACCACGTGATACAACGTGTTACTTCTAGTATTTTGATTTCTATGTAAAACTCAAAAATAATTAAATCTATGCAAAAGTCAATATTCTAATACAAAGTAATTAAATAAGCTGGATAACATTTGTCATGATCATACACAATATAAATCCGAGATGAACTAGTCATGCCATTTACACTATCATAATCTCCACTGCCATCATCTTTACTTGGTGGAGTAACTAATGTGGGATCACTTGCCATTCTTATACTGTCACCAGTTAAAACAAAAGCTATGAATATCTGCTGATATCCCAGAGGAGATCGATAAGCATAACGACGACCGGAATAGCTGGCATTAACTGCAAAATATGCGCCTTTCCCCCACAAACTTGAGCTACCACTGTGACGAAAATCAAATCCATGCTCAGATTCGTATATTTTCTCTGGAGAGACACTACTACTTCCATGAAATAGCCATTTCTCGTTCACCAGACCATTATTTTTCTCGTGCATTCTTTTCTTGCATAGGTCGTATTTTTCGTATAAAAATTTGTTCTGTATCCTCTCAATTTTTAAAATATTTGCATCCACCATTGTCTTCTTGATAGCACTCACAACCTTAGTCCATTCAAGAGAGCTTACTTTAACAGGTTTCAGTTCAGTATTTTTAGTTTGTGGCTCCCACTCAGGAGGAAAAGATGATGATGATGAAAGTGGGACAGATTGAAGGCTGGCTCGTTTTTCTGCTAAAACAAGAAATACTTTTGTCAAATAGTCACCATCACCAAACAATAAAATATTAGGGAATGATGATTCCACTTTGACACAAAATGATTGTGCTAACTCAATGATACATTCAGTACAAAAGCTTCCAAATGTTTTCATTTTAACCATCCCTTCTAATTTCTTACGTAAACTAGCTATAGAAACTTGAACGCTTTCCTTTAAACCACGACAGGATAGACAAAGTGATAATGAATCTAGAGCTGGTATACGTTTGATTTCACGCTCCTTCTGTGTTGTGGTGTTGCACTGTATCATATCATCAAAATCATAAGTGTATCGCCACTTCCCTATGCTGTAGGAAGGAGGAATTAGAGAATGATGAATGAGACCTGGTGATTGGAGAAGATGCTGCTGATAGAGTTTTTCAATTTCAGCTGAATCAGTAGCACTCATGAGTGTGAATTTCTTATCATCATCAATAAATTTCCAAGAGACAACACCAGTATGAGAAATAGTTAAATAATCAGAAATACTCTCTATAGTCAATGGATATGAACTAGACATTGCACTAGCTATAGTACTGGAGAAAGTAACCATAGATTTGGTAGAACCATTAGGCAGCTTTATACTAAACTCCACACCATTCTCCTGCTCTATATTCTGAAATACTTGAGGATCTTTTAATAAAGGTATGAACTGACAATGGAGATTGATCGACTCTGTTATTATCTGACTCTGAAGTAGTTGCATGTGCAATCGTACAATACTTTCAGCCATTTCTACTTTATCATTGTCACCAGAAATAAGAATGCCTCTTCCATCGTTTAATGGTTTGGCAGACACATTAGAAAGTTGGATCTCCAATTCTGGAAATTTGGAAATAGTAATTAAATTAACGAGTGCATCTTCCTCATAAGTAACCACTTTCGAACCATTTTCAACTGACAGCTGCTTATTACTGAGTTTGATATTCACCTGCACACCATTGAGATGCACCTTGTTTGAGGTACAGGCAGCCTTTGCTTCTTTACTTGACTCAAAATTGACATATGCATAGTCAGGATTCCCTGATATTATAGCAGGAGTTTTCAGGACCTTACCAAACTGACGAAAGTATCCCTCTAGAACCTCACCTATAATTATAGAGAATAATTACTGTTAAACTATATAATGTAGATTTGATAATTACAATGTTTAGAGAGAATTTGCCATAACTATGTACATGTACACGTACATGTATAAAAATACCTGTAATTCCACTAGAACCAAATGTAACTTTAATAGTTGATGACACTTCTGTGCTTGACTGTGTTGTGGATTTCCTGTTATGACTATACTGAGCTTGAGGCAAGTGATAAACAGGAAAAGGAAAGGCATAAGAATGAGGAGCTGAAAGAGGGACACGAGGAAAAACACAAGCTAGAGGAGGAATATGAGTTTGAGTTGGAAGAGGAATATGAGTTTGAGTTGGAAGAGGAATATGAGTTTGAGTTGGAAGAGGAATACGAGCATCAGGTGAAATAGGAAGAGCTGAAGGAAGAGGACTATGGGCTGAAGGATGAGTAAAAGAAGGTGAAAAGGTGTAGGCCTGAGCTTGAGGTGGAGTAGGAGAGGCTTGAATAGAATCTTTATCGTGCAATTTGACAATGGGGCATTGCCCATAAAATTTTACTTTCTTTAAAAATTCCATTGCTGTTGTTGCACCTTCTAGTGATGAAAAATTGACATAAGCATGTCCCTTATTAACTTTAAGACTTTGATAATCTGTATAGCTACGACAAACATCTTCCATTTCTTCCTGAGTTACATTCAGCGAGAGATTTGTCACTTTCAGAGTGTGTTGACATTGTCTTTC